TATTATTATGGGGTGTTTTGGGAAAATGGTTAAAATTTAATTTTTCGATTTTTGATTTTAGCATTTTTGCTTCTTTTTTTTTTTTTTTTTTTATGAGAAAGGAAGTGGGTTAAAAATTAGGAAGTTGCTTTTAACCCACTTTCCAAAATAAACCTATGTGAGGTCAACCTAGGGAATGTGGCACTTTAGTAAAATTTTGGGCATAAGTTATAAGGTCTTAGATTTTATTCTTATCGGGGTTAGCGATCCAGGCAACAACACATATGATTGGTAAGATAAATCTCTCAGGTCTGAGCGAATTATACCTAGTATCAGGAGAGTGTAGGTTCAAATTCTTACATGTGTGCGAGTTCGTGACTTACCGCTACATGATTGAGTGACCCTACTATGTAACAACCACCTTAAAGTGATCTCTAGGACTTTGACTCCTTATAGGGTATAGCCCCAGAGGTTAACCCTCTCTGGTTAAGCCCTTATGTGAGGTCTATGTGATGTCTGAGATACTAATAACGACCCTTGCTTTACTCTATCCCAATAATGGACTCATAAAGAAGAGATATGGCTGTCTTGAAGAGAAAAATACTAGCCTTTTCCCTGGCATTCTCATAACTATCCTTGTTTTTTTTGTTTTTTTGTTATATATATATATATGTATACATGAGTTTTTTTTTATTATTTTATTTTAGAATATATAGTTATTGATAGAGTAAAAACTTTTCGTTTGGTAGTAGTTTATTAGGCACAAATAACTTACATAATTGATTTCTAAGAGCTGGGTTGTAGTCCATTTGATTTGTGCTTTTGGATTATTAACTTTTAGCTCCAAACAGCACACAACAGGAAATATCTGCTTAAATCTCAGTTTGGCTAACCAAGGGTTTGTAGCCTAAGTGGCTTATCCTTTTGACCAACAAATTTCTTTTAATGGGGGTCTTGGGTTTCACTCCGAGAAGTGGAATGGACGGCAAGACTAAAGTGCTTACAAGGAGAGGGTTGGAGTTCAACTCTCCAAGTGCCAATAACAACTAATCACTAATTTTCATTGATCCAAAAAAAAAAAAGAGAAAGAAAATTCCTAGTTTGGCTACAATTCTGCAGAAAAACACAATTCAGAGTCTCACTGCGTGGGTGTTTGGGAAGTTATTATTTTAGTAGTTTTTTTAGTTTTTGATTATTTTAAGAGGTTAAAATTTTTGTGTTTGGGAAGATAGTTGGGTTTTTTTGTAGTTGGATGTGATGTTTGTGAGAAAAAAAATAAAATGATTATGAGTTTGATGTGACATTTTGTCTGGATTTGTTTTTTTTTTTTTTTAACTAATTTTGTCTTTTAGTGTTTTTTAGCCCAAAAAAAAAAAAACACTTCCCAAACACCACCAAACAAAACACAAATTGGTTAGTATTCCAAGCACAAATGTGTTGACAATTGTGACAGTTAGATGTGGCGTTTGTGCTTATTTGCTCTCAATTAATATGGGAGCTTTGCTTCAATCTGTTCCTCTTCAAGACCTTCAGGTAATAATATTAATACTATTACTCCTTTGTGTGGACAATGATCTACTTATTTTTTATTCATCACTCATTTCTAATAAATTTCTATTTTCAGTAGAAATTTTTTAACACAAGTATAATTTACATATGTTTCTGTGATAAATTTACTATCTCTATAAAATATTTTCAAAGGTATATTTGTAATTTATCCTAAATTACAAAGAGTTCCCCATTTGTGATTATCATTTTACAAATCAAACAAATGCATCCATTCTATCGCTCTTAAACATGGAGCACTTTCAACACAGAATTAGTTACACTTTGAAAGTGTATATATCAGCAACATACTCATAGTCAATACTCATTTCGACTTGTTATGTGTGGCTACATCTGTTCAATAAACTAATGAAAAAGAGGGGGAAATGTATGAAACTAGTAAAATCAAACCCCTATTTAGGACGTCAAACCCATAGAAGTTTAGAAATCAATCTACAACAACCAAACCCAAAAATCAACACGAAATTAAATTGAATCAAGCATATAAAACCCTAAAGCAACAATCAGAAAAAATGGGGAAACATAAGAAGGAGGAGAGAGATAGACAGAGAGAGACACACACACAGACAAACCGAGAGTGAGAGAACGAGCGCGCGCGCGCGAGCTAGAGAGAGAGAGAGAGAGAGAGAGAAAGAGAGAACCAGTGATCTGCAGCTATAGCGGTGGTGATTTGCAACAGTGGTGGTGGCTGTGGCGATGTCCTTCGTATGGTGGGCTGCGGTGAAGTGATTTTCTATGAGGTTTGGTGGTGAACGACAGTCTGTGTGTGAGAGGTTCGAATGTTATTTTGTCTAACAAAGAAAGGGGGCAGGTAACAATAAATTATTTCCCTCTAAAAACTTTTAACCTTTAGCGGCTACTTTGGGATTTTGTCGGCGAATGAATATATATGCCGACTATTCTATTTTCTGGCCAAATCTAAATCAACGGCGACTAAAATATTAGATGCCAAAGGTTTAATTTGGCGATTAATTTTTCTTTGGTTGGAAAAAGTAATATAGCACGACTAATTTTATTTTGTCACCAAAACTTAATATTTGCCGACAAAATTTTTTGGTCACCAAAGAGTAACCATAAAAATATGCCTGTTATTTGGTGACTAGTCAGTAAAAAATAACATATGATGACAAAAAAAAAATTTAGTAGCCTAAAATCTAGACTAACGGCGACTAATACACTTTTTAGTTGCGAAAAGTGAAATTTTCACCGACTAAAAATAAATTTAGTCGCCAATAAGTAATATTTCTCGAGTAAAAAATTTTAGTAGCTATACCCTAAACCAATGCCAACTAGTACACTTTTTAGTCGCCAAAAGTGACATTTTTGACGACTAAATTCCTTTTAGTCGCCAAATTTGGTCGCCAAAAGTGTAAATTGTTGTAGTGAGTAAAGTAACCAAACATTACCTTGTCTTAAAAAAATAAAAAAATAAATAAAAAAAACTAATAAATTGATCACCATTAAATCTTATACTAGATTAAATACAATAATTTATTCAAAAATTACGAAACAAAGTATAAAAGATGTTTTATTTTTTAAAAAAGACCACCAATTTTATAAATAATTATTTTGAGAAATAGAGTTTGAATAGCTTTTTTGATAAATCCATTTTCTAAGAGGTTTATTCCATCCAACCCATATTCTTTTTGACTATTCCATTAGGTCCAATTTAAGATAAGAAGACCAAAATACCCTTTTCATCTACTTATGTTTCATTTACTTCACATTATTTTCTTATGTTTCAATAAGTTCTATGAGTGACATAATTACCAAAATACCCTTAATGTGAATGTTCACACTGTCAATATAAATGTTTATATCGTCAATGTATAGGGGCTCGGCTCATGTCGATCCTCGTGGGTGCCCGAAAAAATTCGAGTCGGGCCGGGCCGGCCCACAAGCCAAAAAAATAGGCCCGACCCGGCCCGTTGATAATATGAATATTCACATTGACAAGTTAACATTCATATTGATAGGAGTGTAAAATTGGCCAGCGGCCTGTGGGCGGCCCGAAACCAGCCCGTCGCTTGGGGCGGGCCCGTTCACATCAACAGGCTACTAGTGACTTGGCCCATTGTGACAACTCCATCGGGCGCTGAATTAACTAACTGTCACAACCAAGTCTCCAAACTTTCGGGCAAAGAACTAAGTAGCATCAAAGCCTGCAACTCATCATCAAAAATAATTTTCATAGAAGCAAGTTGGTTAACAATACTCTTTATTTCATTCAGATGTTCCAGAATAGGGCTACCCTCTTTATGTTTTAAATTAACCAACTTACGAAACAGAAAAGCTTTATTGGTGGCTGATTTCCTATCATAGAGGCTTTCTAATTTTTTTTCCATAAATCATGTACTGAAGTTTCAGTAGCAACATGATGAAACACACTGTCATCAATCCATTGACGGATAACACCAACGGCTTTTCGATTAAGCCTATTTCATTCATCATCTTTCATACCTTCGGGTTTACCACTATCACCCTCAATAGGCCCATACAAATCTTTACAAAATAATAGGTCCTCCATTTTAGTTTTCCAAATTACCCAATTGCTTCCATTGAAGCTAGACATACGACCCATATTCCCCTCAATTGATTTACACAAATAAATAGACCCAAATAAACCGTAAGCTATAATACCAGTTGTTAGGAAAAATATATGATTCCCCACAAGTAAATCAATCAATGGGAATAAAAACTAATGCGAAAAAATTAAATCAAAAGCAACACAAGAATTTTGCGTGGTTCCCTCAATGTAAGTACGTCTACGTGATCGAAATCCGATTCTACTATTAACCAAAGAGTTTCCAAACGAGACACGAATGGTCTCACAAAACTACCCTTAGGTGAATTCCAAATAATCACAAATAAACAAGAGGAAAGACCTCACCAAATATATGAAAAAAAATTTCAAAACAGAATTGTAGAAGACCCAAAATAATAACTCAAATCAGCTGCAAAACTGAGACTATAACAGCATCAAAATTACTCACAAAGAATCCACCAAATTTTGATCAAAACCTGCTACTCACCCACCAAAACCAAACTCACCGAATAATCAAATATATTGCAGCTGCCGCTATGTATTACCTCGGAAAATCAGATATAATATATAAAATATATTATACCCAAACCAAACCAAATTAAAATTCTTTTAACAAATCAATTGGTCTCAAACTCCAATAAGGAGGTATACCCAACACTAATATATACTAAAATAGATGCAACATAATAAGAAAAAAGAAAAAAAGAACAAGAACAAGAAGAAAGCCATATGCCAAACGATCAAATTAACCCCCACATTGATCAAGAAATACAAAAAAGAGTCCAAAACGAAAATGCAAAGCAGACTTGTCTGTGGAGGAAGATGAAGGGTAACTATTTATTTTATGCCCTGAAACTAGTTTGAGAATAATTTAAGCATGAGATGTGGGGGTTAGGTAGTTACAGTAGTTTTAGAGTTTTCGCAATTTGTTGTTGTGGTAATCCTCGGCTAGAGCAATATTGCTATTACTACTACTATTAGTCGTGACATTTTTGTCGAGAAGAATCGCAACCATGGTATAGCGCCAGAGTGTAGTAAAGTTGTTTACTATGAGGGGCTCGTCATTGTCATTTTTAAGTTGAACGCTCTTAATGAAGTGTTCTCTATCCGCCGAAAGCTGAATCTGCTTGGACATTTTCGACCATTTGTTCTCCATGCTCGTTATCAAACCTTTTGGTGTAAACATGGTTTGATTTGCTATGCTTTTGCCGACTTGTACCTCAATGTATTGGAACCTTGCCGCTTCCGAGACCATCTGAATGACCACAAGGAGTGGTTCAGCTACGCTCCTACCGTTCCACAACCTTATGATGGCGTCAGCTAGGGGAGTTGGTCCCAGAGGGAGAGAGTTCCTTTCCTTACCTGACCGGTCCTCAAGGCTGACATAATTGCCGGTGAAGGTTAGGTTGGTTTTTTGGGTGCCGACGAATAAATTGCTATATTGAAGTGCCGTAACGTCTTTGAAAAAGTAGGATTTGTTATTTGCACCACTAAAAGCCACCACATAAAGGTTTACCACATCTATTGCCAAGGTGACTGTGTCGCCATTGATGAGACTGACCAGAATGAATCCTTTCCCAACCCGCACTTTACTTTCGGGGTTAAGCACTGGTAGATTATTTACTGTACGGGTTTCCTGTTACACGATTTCTCGCAATTCCCCTATGAAGTTTGCGTATCTGACCCAGGTGGCACCAATCACATTGAAGGAGATGCGGCGATAGGCCTGGACGCCGCCTGCAAATTGCGAGAACAACAATGTATAATATTGCCGCTACCACTCTCATCTTGCTATACTTGCTAGTTGCTATGAAGGTTGATGGCTGCAGCCTCTAGTGTGATACAATATATATTGGCCCTATTTAGGAATGAGTTTTTTTTGGTTTTTTGAACTAAAATAGTATCAAAAGACTAAATAAATTAAAATAGACAATAAAATAAAATATCACATCAAATTTATAATTATTTATTTTTTTATTACAAACATCCCATTTAATTATAAAAAAAAATTTTAATTTTTTTAAACACAATTATTATAACTTATAACACAAATATTAAACACAATTATTATAACTAAACTAAAATAATTAAAAATTAAAATAACTTATTTTCTCACGGTTATGTCGTAAGCATAGATCTTACGGACAATCTATCAAATACAGCAATGTTACATTCCACTAAAAGTGGTGCTCTAAAATACCACGAATGAGTTGGCATCCACTTTTAAAAAAAAAATAAAAAAAGACAAGGCACAAAAAACATTGGGACAGTCGGTGAGACCCACTGCCACATCATTAGTGGTAGCACTAATTAGTGCTCCCACTCATTTTCCTATCAAATATTGACGCATCATCTATAATAAAGAAAAAGTGGGACACCTTACTTTACACGGAGAAGGAGAATACTACATCTCTCTAATAACTTGACTTGGGTTAAAATATTTATTTTTTAATTAATTTAAAATAAAATTATAATCAATTGAATACGGATAAACTCGGGCAGTGGTGTAGAATATCCCCTTTTGTTTTTGGGTGGGTGAGATTAGGATGGAGGTGGACCTATTTAGTATTGTGTTTGTTTGTAAACTTAGGAAAGGGATTATGATGGTAGAGAGGATTAAGATGGAGGTTGGAAGGGGGATTGGGATGGAAGAGGTGGAGGTAGAGGTGGAGGTAGAGGTGGTATTAAAAAAATAGTAAGGGAATTAGAAATTTTTTTATTTTTTACATGTTGGATATTTTTTTTTGACATCAATATTTAATTTTTTGTATTTTTTTATTATTTTATATAAAAATAATTTGACAATCCCTACACTAATAACTATCATCAAAATAAACACAATTTTACTTAATCCGTTCACTATCAATTCTCTCATTATTAATCTCTTCACTATTGATTATCTCTATTCTACGTTGAGAACAAACCGGACCCAAGGATTGACAGCATCTTCCCTTTGTCGAACGGTGCCTGTGATCAGGTCGGTTACATCCCCTAAAAAATAAACTTTAAAAGAGGTGTACACACTTGGTAATGAAAAATAAATAAATAAATAAATAAAATAAGATCAAGACCACCATCTCTAGTTCCATTAGAATTTTTATTTTAAAACTCTCAAACATTTTTTTGGACAAACCCAGTCAGAAACTTTAGAAAACTGCGCAAACCGTCTTCTCCGGCAAGCAAAACCAAGACCTCAACTTTCACAGCAAAACCATGACCTCTCAAACATAGTTTGGCACTGACTTTTTTTAGTTGGCTTTTTTGTGTTAGGATTTTTTTAATTTGATTTTTTTAGTCTTGTTTGATTTGATTTTTTTAATTTTTTTTTACTTTTGTGAGAGAAAAAAATATAATTATTATAATTTAAATGTGATATTTTATCTTATTCACTTATGTAAATAATTTTATATTTTTCTATTTTTTTAAGTCAAAAATCAAATGCCAAACTAAGCTTAAATATTTTATCTTTTTAAGAAAAACTACTTTGAAGAGTCAAGAGCATGTATCAACCGAGCAAATCATGGAATGGGTGAAGTCCCAATCCCACGAGCAGCGTTTTTTGAAATCCTTTTAGCATTCTCAATTTCTCACCACATCAGTAACAATATTGTACGGGAAAGAAAAAAATCTTCTTGTATAATCCTGTTGATCAAGTTCGTGTTCCTCCGTACGACGTCGCTTTACTCCCTAAAAACACAAACGTGAGCTAGCCGGCGGGTGTGATCCGAATACCTCTCCGATGCCTAAGTCAGCAAAATAGACAAATAGACAAAAAACTCTGTGAATTCGGGAATCAAAGTTGTGTTACCTCTCCATAGGTGATGTTATGAGCTTTTATAGGTTCCGCGTGGCACAATCCTAATAGGACTCTTACTCCTCCATGTAGAGTCCTCCTAGGAATCACATTCCTGAAAGATAATGCTTATCTTTCAACACCCCCCTCACGTTTAAACCAAGTGAGATGGTTTTACCTAGGTCGGATGTCAATACGACCGGGATAACATGGCCATGCTAAAGCCGCAGACTAGACCGAGCTCCACCTAGCTCGGTTCTTCCTTTCACTGCGTGTACCTCGGTTCGACATACTCCAACCAGGCTGTTGAGATCATGCTAACCATACTGAGCTAGGACCGAACTAACCCATAGCATGGTTCTGAGGAAGGCTCAACATACTTTGGCTCAATATGGTATGACCGGCCTAACTGTTACCACGCCGACCATGGTGACCGAGCTAACCACCAAGCTCTTTCGGACCGGACTAACTGCAAGGCTCCTCTGGACCGGGCTAACTGTTACCGCGCCGACCGAGGTGACCAAGCTAACCACCAAGCTCTTCCGGACTAGGCTAACTGCAAGGCTCCTCTGGACCGAGTTAACACTTGCGATCCACTTGCTAAGCTCTTTTTACCGCGGCTGACACCTTTACCTCGACTGACACCTTTACCTCGGCTGATATCTTTACCTTGGCTAACATTGCGGTCAACCAAGTTACTTCGGCTCTTCTCTCCATTTGACTACCTTGCTTGGTAGCTCGGCCATAGCGTTGACCGCCACTAGGAAGTAGCTAAGTCGTGTAGCTAGGTCCCATGGCTAGGTCTCATAGCTAGGCTGCGTAGCTAGGTCCAATAACTTGGTCTCGTAGCTAGGTCTTGTAGCTCGGTCTCGTAGCTAGGTCCTGTAGCTAGGTCTAACAGCTTGGTTCTGTAGCTAGGTGTAGACACCCCATTTTTGACCGACCTTAAGACTCAGACGTCACTAGTTGAGCGCTCGGTGATATTGCATATAGTGCTCGTTCAGAAGTTTGCCTCCGGACTTCCAGACTCTTTCGTACCTTGCCTCGGTTTGCGAACTAGGCTCTGTTTTCTCTGTTTTCTCTTCTCGAAGGGAGGGAGAGGTCTCGTAGATCATCTCTCAGTGGCCGTAGGCTATGTTTCGTGGTCGTAGGCCATTTTTCCCGTTTGGAGCCTGATTTTCGATTTTTCGGAGCCGACGGCCGTGTGCCTCAGTTCGAGACCCCCTAACCACCTCCGTTTGCTCCGGTTTTTGGCGTACACCTTATTTCCTCCCTTTTAAGGAACACTGTGGCCCGAGAGACCGACTTCGTGGTCGAACGCCACCTCCGGTGCTTAACAGCCCATTTTCGGGGCCTCGGTCCGCGCGTTTCGGTCCCCGAACCTCCGTTTTGCATCCGTTTTGGTTCATTTTTGGTGGAGACCTTATTTTCATAGTTAGGAAGCTTGTAGGAGGGTGGGAGGCCAGCAATTGTTCCAAAAAGCCAGCTTTATTCCTTCATCGCTCTCCGACGCCCGTTTTCCTCACTTGAAAGCTAGTGTTGACCACCCTGGAGCCACTTTCTTGAACCTTAAACCCCATATTTGTGATGTACACACCTGGGAGGCCACCAATATTTGGTGGCCGACCAGTAATTGTGCCTGACCCTTTTGACCCCCTCTGAAAAATGGTCTTTTCTCTCTTCTGGTTCACTTTTTCTGGGTTTCAACCACATAGTTGTGTTGTGCACACATGGGAGGCCACTTTTTTGAGGTGGCAGACCAGTAATTCTGCTTGCCCCTTTTGGCCCTTGGTCGGCCGGCCATGGGAGGTGGTCGGCCGGCCACCTGAACCCTCAAAACCTGGCCGGCCATGACCCCCTCACTTGGTTCCTTACAAATCTGATCTCTTTTTCCCCCCAGATCCTGTATCCGAGGGGGGCTATTTTGGGGGGAAAATTTGAATTTCATTTCCCCCATTTTTTTTTTAATGACCTTAGTATTTTGGAAAATTTGGCTTGGGTTGTAACCTTACATTATTTAAGTTGTTTTGAAGTATTTATTGTTACTGTAACGTTGGATATATTAGATAGTTTATGAAATTATGGTGCATGGTATGATTGGTGTTTTGTTAATTACCTTATTGAGACTAGAATGTTTAGATTTTTGTTTCACCCCTAGGATTTGGATGATGGAATATTGATTGGGGTTTAGTCCTAATTTAATATTTAATTGTCCAAATTTTGGGGCGTGACAAACTTGTTCCCAACCCGTACTTTACTTTCGGGGTTCAGCACTGTTAAATTATTTACTATACGGGTTCCCTGTGACACGATTTCTCGCAATTCCCCTATGAAGTTGTTGGGAGAAAACAAAACAAAAAACCAATTCGAAATATCCGAATCTGGCACAAAAATAGTGGAAGTAGTTTATTCTCCCTCTTTGTGTGAACCTATTAAGAAGCAATTTAATAGAGCACAATACATTCTGAAAATAATCTGAAAGTAATGATCCAACAATCACACAACAAGGCGACAACAAATTTTTAACGTGGAAAACCTCCCCGATGTGGAAGGGAAAAACCACGGGACCGTAGTCCACCAATATCTCCAGTATCAACAAATAATGAGTATACAAGAATTCTCTCTAGATAGAACTAGAGACAAACAATCAAGAACAACTTACAAATAAGCTTCCTTGGCAACCAAAGATCAAAATACAAAGTTTAGGAAAAATCTCACCAAAAACGGGTATTGTTCACGGGACAAAAACCACCAGTAGAATACTCCAAATCTGATCTCTACCGTCCAGAATTTAGAGTATTGAGTTGTGAACTCACCTACCAAATTTCAGCTCAATCGGACCACAGATGCTTGTTGATCGGATAGCTTGATCACTGGACAGAATTTCTCCTCTCCTTTTTGTTTTGGTGGCTGCTGCTACGTCTCTTTCTGTGTTACAGAGAAAGGGTTTGTCATCCTACACTCATGGACCAGATCTTTTCAAAAACATAACCTCTCTATGTGGGCTTTGGAACTCACATGAGTTTTACTAAATGTTTTGGGCCATCCTCCACATAGAAGGGAAACCCAACCCAACAGAAGTTTGCGTATCTAACCCAGGTGGCACCAATCACATTGAAGGAGATGCCGCGATAGGCCTGGACGCCACCTTGGATTCCAAGGCTGCAAATTGCAAGAACAACAATGTATAATATTGCCGCTACCACTTTCATCTTGCTATACTTGCTAGTTACTATGTAGGTTGATGGCTTTAGTGTGATACAATATATATTGGCCCTGTTGGGGAATGAGTTTTTTTTTGGTTTTTTGAACTAAAATAGTATCAAAAACTAAATAAATTAAAATAGACAATAAAATAAAATATCACATCAAATTTATAAAAAAAAAAATTAAATTTTTTAAACACAATTATTATAACTAAACTAAAATAATTAAAAATTAAAATAACTTATTTTCTCACGGTTATGTCGTAAGCATAGATCTTACGCACAATCTATCAAATATTGACGCATCATCTATAATAAAGAAAAAGTGGGACACCTTACTTTATACGGAGGGCTCTTTTGGGAAGGGGGTTATAATCCACTTCCCGGATTATAACCCACTTCCTCTTTCACAAAAAAGCTGCTTATAAGCTGTTTTTTTACCAAAAAGCTGATTATAATCATCTTCTCAAAATAGCCCGGAGAAGGAGAATAGTACATCTCTCTAATAACTTGACTCTGGTTAAAATATTTATTTTTTTAATTAATTTAAAATAAAATTATAATCAATTGAATACGGATAAACCAGGGCAGTGGTGTAGAATACCCTCTTTTGTTTTGGGGTGTAGAATAACCTATTTAGTGTTGTGTTTGTTTGTAGAGTTGGAGAATGGATTAGGATAGAGGAGGGGATTAAGATGGAGGTTGGAAGGGGGATTGGAATGGAAGAGGTGGAGGTGGACGTGGAGGTGGTATTAAAAAAATAGTAAGAGGATTAGATTTTTTTTTTTTTACATGTTGGGTATTTTTTTTACATGTTGGGCATTTTTTTTAACATTAATATTTAATTTTTTGTATTTTTTATTTATTTTATTATTTTATATAAAAATAATTTAACAATTCTTACACTAACAACTATTATCAAAATAAAAACCGTTCAAATCAAAATCGGAGGGTCGAATCTCCGTCAGGATGGGTTTAAATTGTCATCCCTAACAGTGCCTGTGATCAAATCGGTTACACCCCCTAAAAAATAAACTTTAAAAGAGGCGTATACACTTGGTAATGAAAAATAAATAAATAAATAAATAAAATAAGATCAAGACCACCATCTCTAGTTCCATCAGAATTTTTATTTTAAAACTCTCAAATATTGTGAGTGTTTGGGAAGTGAATTTTTTTAAAGTTTTTTTAGTTGTAAGATATTATTGGAGAATTTTTTTTTTGTGTTTGGAAAGATAGTTGAATTTTTTTGTGATTGGATGTGATATTTGTGAGAAAAAAAGTAAAATAATTATGAAATTTGATATGATATTTTATTTAAATTTATTTTTTTTAATTTTGTAAAACATTTATCTTGTAATAAAAAAAAACAAAAAAAAAAACTCAAAAACCAATTTCCAGTCGGAAACTTTAGAAAGCTGCGCAAACCGTCTCCTCCGGAAAGCAAAACCAAGACCTCAACTTTCACAGCAAAACCAAGACTTCTCAAACATAGTTTGGCATTGACTTTTTTTTTACGATAATGCTACGTAACTCAAATTTTGTGGCTCAAAAGTGGTTCAAATAGCCAAAACGACGTCGTTTTGGCCATTTGAGCCACTTTTGAGCCACAAAATTTGAGTTACGAGACATTTTCTTTTTTTTTAATTGACTTTTTTGTGTTATGATTTTTTTAGTCTGGTTTGTTTTTTTAAATTTTTTTTTAATTTTTGTGAGAGAAAAAAATATAATGATTATGATTTAAATGTGATATTTTATCTTATTCACTTATATAAATAATTTTATATTTTTTTGTTTTTTTAAGTAAAAAATCAAATGCCAAACTAAGCTTAAATATTTTAGGTATTGTTTGGTTTGGTTTTGAGAGAGTAGTTTTTTAAATTTTTTTTTGAGAGAGAGTTTAATTTTTTTTTTGATTTATTTGGTTGTATTTTTTGAAAACAGTTTTGAAATTTAGGAGTTTGGAATGATTTGATATTTTGTTGTAATTGAGTAGATGTGTGTGAGATAAAAAGTGATTGAGAATGAGAGAAGGAGTCCGAATCCTCGGCTGAGATCCTCAGCTGCCCTACCTTGCAACCCTTCCTGCCACGCCCCAAAACGACGTCGTTGTGGGGCCAATTTTCAAAGAAAAAAAAGAAAAAAAAAAGAGCAAAACAGAACCCAAAGAGGAGAAGAAAGAAAGCATTAGCGACAACCATAGCTGCGAGACCCGACAACGAGCAACCATAGCCGCGAGACCCCTTCTCTCTCTCTCTCTCTCGCGATCTTGATCTCGCCACCATCTCGATCAAAAGAAGAAAAGAAAAGGAGAAAGATGAAGGACGTGGGGTGAGTTGGAGACGGCAGTGCTACGACAGTCGAAAAGAGAGAGACTTGAGAGAGAATTCAAGGTTTTGATTTTTTGGTGATGAACTTTGATTTTTCATCATATTTTTTAGCCCATGATTTGTTATATATATATATATATGTATTGTAGATTTATATATATATATATATATATGGATGGAAGTGGAAGGTGTATAAGAATGAGAAATCATACCAGCGATCGAAGAGTGGCGCCGGTGGATGAAGGGATTCCGGAGGGTGTGGTCGTTGCAGGCTGCCGGTGCCACGTTCTTCTTTCCCTCTTTCTCCAGTTTCGTTTTGTTTTGATCGTTCTGTTTTTTTTTTTTTTTCAAAAATTGGCCCCAAAACGACGTCGTTTTAGGGCGCTGCTGGAAGGGCCATAGGGTAGGGGATCCGGGCTCTGAGAGAAGAGAGTGAAAAAGTGATTGATTGATGTGTAAAAGAAAGAGAGTGATTTTGAAAATTGTTTTGGAAAAATTGCAAACCAAACAAATTTTTTAGAATATCTTTCCCAAAATCACTCTACAAAACCAAACCAAACATACCCTTTATCTTTTTTAAAAAAACTATTTTTAAGAGTCAAGAGCATATATCAACCGAGCAAATCATGGAATGGGTGAAGTCCCAATCCCACAAGCAGCGTTTTTTGAAATCCTTTCAGCATTCTCAATTTCTCACCACATCAGTAACAATATCATTTTTCTCGGACCTTCTGCTTCGATATTACTTTATTTTTTTACCGGACGGACTTTGCTCTTCCCAAACCCACTCTCCGTCAGGGCTCGATCAAAATCGCCTCAAGCAGAAAATGAAGGATTTGAAGTTGCAAGGAGAGTATTTGAGGTTCAGCCTTTTCGGTTCCTTGCCGGAGAAGACGAAGTTCAGATTTAGTTTTTTCTCTAGTTTTCTTAAACAAAATTCAATTGATTACAATTTATCTTACGGTAACCATAGTTAGGTTATTAGAAAGTTAAGAATACTTACAATTTTACCAACAAATCTTATTAGCATATTCATAAATTTTAATAAGATCCACCATTACTTAGCCTTCGTTTGGAAAGTGGGTTAACTTTTTGGCTTTTTGATTTTTTTGACTATTTTAGCCTGGGTTAAAAAACTTAGTTTGGGAAGGGCTTTTTGGCTTTTTGACTTTTTTTTTTGTGAGAGAAGAGTGTAATGATTATGGGTTGGATGTGATATTTTGTTTGTTGTGGTTAAACAGACTATTTCATTTTACGTGACTAAAATAACCAAAAAAGTTTGAAAACCTTCTTTCCAAACGGTGCCTTAATAACTTCTAAGTATGAGTAAAATTATTCAGTTTGTTTGGTTTGAGTTTTCTGGATTAAGCTTTTTGAAAATTGAGTTTTTTAGTTTTCGTATTTTTTTTTATTTTTAGTGAATATTTTTAAAATTTAATTTTTTTTTTTTTTACTTTTTTAGATTCACCTTACTTAGATGTATCTAAAAAGTAAAAAATTTGTGAAAAAATATTTTAAAAAATTAATAAATA